AAGGCAAGCACGGGTGCTATCTGTAGTCCCGGTACCCAGAAGACAGACAGTGAATCCTCTGGGGCAAGCTAGCTGTCTAGACTAGTCAAAATCCCCAGGTCCAGCAGGACAGTCTGCCTCAATAAAGTAGAGAGCTGTAGTGGAGGGTAATCAACTTTTGACCTATAGAAGCAAATACCCATACATAACGTGTGTAACATGACACATAAATATGCAGAAACAAGAAAAGAAAGAAGTGATCTTTGGAATTTAGAAGAGTGAATAGCCAGAGAAATGAGTCATCTATGTTACTGCACAAGCAGCACACGCTAAACTGTCACAGCACTGGAGCCACAACTGCAGGTTTACCCACGAGAAGAACAGACAGTCCTGCACATGAAGAGTCAGACCGAGTCAGAAACTTATCTTTAGCAAATAAGGAAAATAACTCGGAGTTTGGTAAATGATTACAGAAAAGAGGGGGATATGGCAGAATAGCCAGACATGTGCTTCAGAGGAGCCAGACAGGGTTTTTCTCAGGAATAAGGTAGTGGTCTAAGAACCAAACAGCTAAAGAGTATAAGGCTTCCCTCCTAGACCTAGACCTTACATGTTAAGGTTAGCTCCTAACTGAGGGGCTGACAAGTGATCTTACGTTTCTGCTGCTGTGATAAAACACTTTTGATGGAGGCAACCTAAGCTCATACTCACAGGCCACCATTGCAGAGGTCCCAGCACCAGTAGTGTGAGACAGCTGGTCACATTGTGTCTGCAGTGGAGAAGCAGAGAGCAACAGATGAATGCCTACCCAGCTCCCTTTCTCTTGTCTTACACAATCCAGAATCCTCTGCCCAGGGAGTGATCCCACCCACAATTAAGATGGGTCTTCCCACATCAGTTAACCTGAACAAGAAAATTCCTTATAGGTATACTCAGTGGCTTATCTTAACGGATTCCAGATCCAGTCATGTTAGCAACCAAGATTAGCCATCATTTCGAGGTTTAACACTACAGAAAAGTGACAATTTTAGGAGAGTATAATAATCACAGTAAGAACTCCAGAGGGCATGGTGAAAGTTAGGGGTAAACAGATCACAAATATCAACCTGACTTGGATGTGACCCCATATGAGGATGGATCACTAAGGGGATTTGTGCTTCTGGCCCTGGTTAAGATGGGATGATAGAAGGTGGGGCTAGATCTGAAAAAAAATAGAGGGACAGAACTCAGTTTTACTGCTGTAGTCCCTACTGTTGGGGTCAAGTACTGGGGGCTGAGGGAGCCGTTCACTGTGACCAGCCTGTGTGCAGAAGTGTGCTTCCTTTCAGTGGCATTTTATTAGTTTAAGTAACTGCAGAAATGAGAAGTCTAAGTCCCCTTTAAGACTTGTATTAAGAGAAATGAGGGGCTGGAGAGATGGCTCAGCAGTTTAAGAGCACTGGCTGCTCTTGCAGAGGACCCATGTTTGATTCTTAGCATCCACATGGCGGCTAATAGCCGTCTGCAACTCCAGTTCCCAGGGACCCAACACCCTCTTCTCACTTCATTGAACATTGCACAACAGGGGTGCACTCACATACATGCAGGCAATACACTCATACACATAAAACTAATTTAAAAAAAGACATCTTTAGGGGGCTAGAGAGATGGCTCAATGGTTAAGAACACTGGTTGTCCTTGCAGAAGACCCGGGTTTGAAT